ATGATGATGATGATGATGATGATGATGATGATGATGATGATGATGATGATGATGATGATGATGATATTAGTAGCAGTAGTAGTATTACTTGTAATAGTAATAGTAATAGTATTAGTTATAATTGTAGTAGTATGTTTCCATTGAAACCAAGCGACTGTTGAGAATAAAGATGTAAAGATGTTTTTTTTTTAAGTACTACTATTATTATTCGTTTCCAACGACAATTTCAAGCGATAATTAGAGAACAGTCTATTCTGTATTTAGAACGCCGGATTATTTGGGAAACCTTTAATTATGTGTACTTATATTTGTAAATAGTCTTGATTCTTGTACTGTTTGCACCTGTTACGTTTACCGGCGACCATTTTTCTTTTTGCTTCTGCTTCTTTGTATGTCCTTCTGTAAACATAAATATATGCAATCGCAGTTATTAATTGCAATTACATTAAGGATTAATATAATTTTATATCGCATATGTAAATGATTTTTATATTAAAAATTAAAAAGTTAAAAAATGTTTAATAGTTAGGAGTTTTGTTATCACATCGTTAGTTTTCTTATTATCAGATTTATTAATTAATTTTTCAATAATAAAGCAAAAATATAAAATAAAATAAATTTTTACGCTTAAAATTCTTATAAATTGTATTCGTTTTATTTAAATTTACTTAAATTTAATATAATAATTAAATAAATAATTAAATTATTGAAATAATAATTATTAAATAATCTATAAATTCTTAATATAATTGTTAGTAGTCAATAATTGATATTGAATTCATTTATCTTCGAGAAATATTAATGGACAATCTTAAAAATTATATATGAAATAATAATTCAATATTATTAATTATTAATATCTTTAATTTCCATATTTCAAAATCAAATTTTGAAATCTTTATAATTAAACAGAAATAAACAAAATTTTATAAGGAATGAGTTAAAATATTAGATAGAATATAAATAAATATTAGTCTATTCTATAATTTTATTTATATAAAAAATATAATATAAAAAATATTATATATTAAAGATAAATGATTGCAAAAAAAAATATTAATTTATAAGAATTCAAAATATTTCAGTACTATAATAAATAAAGAAGTATTTATTTATTTAAATATTACACACATACTCAATATGTGCAATAAAACATTTAAAAAATAATACAGATGAAAATGATTAGATTGTTATATTAAATAAAATTTATTATAAAACAAACTATCAAAACTTACAATTAAATATATTATTTAGCATCCTTCTGGTATTGATTATTTTTAATTAATTAAAAAAGTAATTAATATAAAAAATGATTTATGATTTATTTTCATAAATATAGAAAAATAAATTAAACTTTAATTAAAATCTATTATTATTCAAAATATAGTATTTTAGTTTTTGCTACAAAATATAAAGTTTAGTTAAATATAATATTGAAATATATTCAATTTATATATTTTTTTAATTAATAATTCTTTATAACAAAATAAATTTAAGATGAAAAACATTATGTATAAATAATAAATGTTTTAAGTTTTTTGAATATTCTTTCATTTTTAAATGTTTAATTACATAATAATAAAATTAGATAATTAGTAACAATTATTATGGAAGAAAAAATACATAATAAAATGTCTTTAATAATATTTAATTTTGACGTATGTTAAAATTAACTCAATTTACAAATTAACTTAATATTTATAATTAACTAATCATAGTTTTCTTATATTAAAACTATGCTATCGTACAAAGAATTATCCCAGAAACTCTCTTATCTTTTTTTCTTTTTACTGGACCATAGACTAAATTTTTTCTCTTAGAAAGTTGGTATTATTTGAGTGTACTCCCGTGATATTGTTACTGTATTTGCGTGTACACACATTTTAAGCAACAAGATGAGTCACTGGCAGCACTGCTTACGCATTCCTTCTGAATTCATTGTTGGTTTCACGTCAATGGGTTCTACATTCTGTGGCCGGATTGTATCACCTTCAGGTGGATCACGTATCTGTTTCTGCGATACGATTCTGTAGATTTCTGTAATGGTCAAAGAGTGTCATTTTTTATTCTTGAAAATATGAAAAACGGTTAATATACATATAAAATATATAGTACATATATAATATATTAAATATTATATATGTGCAAGAATTTAAAATCATATATCTGATACATATATCATATCCATATATAATCATGTCTAATTAAGTTTATTTATTTATATGTATATATGTGTATGCATAAACATATAATTGAATCAAGATTATTTATAAAAATGATCAAATTATGAAATGAAATTTACACAAAAAATAATTACACCACTATAATTATATATTTTTAAATATCCTAAAAAGTTTATTTTAAAACTTTTTTATTTAAATATATATTCTAAAGATTATTTATCTAAATAATAATTTTAATAATTAAAATATAATTAAATAATTAAAATATTTATTATTAAATTAACAATTTCTATTTTAGTTTAATTCAACTTTAATAATATTTAATATTTAATATTATTTAAACAAGAATATTTTTACCTGTTAATATATTTTGAAATGCTGTTTCAACGTTTGTAGAATCTAAAGCAGAAGTTTCAATGAAAGAGAGACCATTTTTTTCTGCAAATGCTTTTGCCTCATCAGTTGGAACTGCACGTAGATGCCTTAAATCAGACTTATTTCCCACCAGCATAATGACAATGTTTTGATCAGCATGATCCCGTAATTCTCGTAACCATCTTTCAACATTTTCATATGTCAAATGCTTTGCTATATCATATACCAATAGAGCTCCAACTGCACCACGATAGTACCTGAACATATAAATGAAAATAAAATTGTTTTATAAAATAAATTATTATCAATGAGAAACACAAATGTTTTATTTAAATATTTAATTATTATACTCTAATAAATATAAGAATGTATTGTCATTTTTTTCATTAGATAATTTTAACTTACGCAGATGTAATAGCACGATAACGCTCTTGTCCTGCTGTGTCCCAAATTTGAGCTTTTATAGTTTTCCCATCTACTTGTATACTGCGTGTAGCAAATTCAACTCCTATGGTGGATTTTGATTCCAAATTGAATTCATTTCTTGTAAATCTCGATAAAAGATTACTTTTTCCTACACCAGAATCACCAATAAGAACAACTGAAATAACAAAGATACTTTTTTAAATAAATCAAAATGTCAAAATAAAAAATTATTATTCTTATAATTATAAACTGAATATCTTAATAAAAAAATTATAAAAAGCATAAGAAATAATAAAAAGATTAAAAGGATTGAAAACATTTTTTTTTTAATTAAAATTTTATTAATTTATTTATACAATTATAGTGTTTATTTTAAATATAAAAATAATAAATAAATAAATAAATAATAAATAATAATAAATATAAAAAATTTGATCAAAATAATATCGTATAATATATTTAATTTCCAGATATTAATTTTTCCCTTTAAATCATCATAATGTGTATATAAATATTAATAAAATGAAAAAAATAATCGAAGAGCGTAAAATAAAAATAGGTAGACTACTGTAAACGTATTACATATAGAAATATAAAAATATAATCAAATATTTAATAAATAAATTACAAAAATTATTGAAAATTGAATTGTCACGAACTATATACGAAAATATACATAAAAATTTTTTCTAATAATGTCATGGAATATAAATAAGTTTAATTAATTCATATAATTAATTATAACTTCAATTATTTTAAATATGTCGCCTGATAAATAATTAATAAAAACCATTTTACGAATTTTCATATGGAAAGAACATGTCTGATGTTATCATTTAAGTCTGATATTCTATCCTATCTCTATCAATTTGATTTTATAAATCAAACATAATTTGACATTAATTCGAATTCTGTTATTGAATGATAACAATTGTTGATTTTTAACTAATGTGCACACATACTTAACATATAAAATTATACCTACTTTATATGTAATATATATATATATATATATATATATACACAAACATGACAAGAATATGCAAATGTAATAATATATATATAGTCTCTAGAAATATGTGAATGTACATATGTGTATTTGAAAAAAAATTTTCGTCAAAATTTTGTGAATAACGAAATAATATTAATGAATTAAATCAAAATTTACCTTTAAATAAATAATCGTATTCATCATCCCGAGTGCCCATCTCGTCTGGAGCTATAAACCCCTTTAGTAGACTGACGGACGGTATCTAGATATCGAAATACACCACTACAATTTATAATTATTTACAAAAAGAAATCTTAGAAACCTCAAAACAGATTCAGTACACTGTTGCTTTATTCACAACAAATTCGTAAATATGTACGATAAAAATTCGGAACGAAACAAGCACGATGATATAATTATTTTCGTTCTTTCAATTTAACTGTACAATATGGCCTCCTTTCTACGCCCCTCCAAACCGATAAATTACACATGCGCAATGTATTTACTTTATACGCATGCGCAAATTGATCATAAATTAAATTTATCATAGATCAGAATTATAGTAGAAAATATTGGTTTTTCTTAGTAAAAAAAATCTCGATTCTTTTTAATTAATTTAATATGGATATATATCCATATTAAATTATATATATTTTAAAATTAAGTTATGAATTTAAACGATATAATGATTTTTACAAATTGAAAAAATCAAAAATAAATTTTTGTTTATAGTTCTTGTGTATAAAATCAAATAAAAATTTAATATATACAAATTTATTTTAAATAATTAAAATATAATTAAGTTAAAAATAATCCGTTATTCAGAAAAAAATACGAGTTTGACTAATTATTTCTGTTAGATCTAATGCATAAAAATAGCTATTAATCGAAAATTAATTATTGTTTTATATTAACAAATTAGATCACATAATTTATGATAATATGCGAATTAGTAATAAATAAAATGTACTCTTTTTACCTTTGTGTTGTTTCGAGTGTCATCTTTACATCTCTGCATATTACATATCTCTGCATACATATACAATCTTTTTATACATCGTCACATGTTCTTATATCTTCTAAACATAGAATCGTCCAATACCTAAACGGTTGAATATGTAGTGTAATGATATTTTTCAATTAATTGCAGGCTGGTTTACAAATGCACAATACGGTGCTTATACATTTATAATTGTTTTTACATAAAATATAACAATTTTATAATATAGTCGAATGCTGTAAGTTGCTAATGTAAGTTAAAACCACGTGCTAATATAAAAAAAAAAGTTAAGTTATTGAATTATTAATCATTTTAATCATATTATTGTTATTAATTTTAATTGTATAAATGTTTTAATTAGATTAGAATTATATTAATAATTAATACAGTATAATGATTCTTAATTTTTCAGATTCACATTTTGACGATAGACAAATCTTACGAAATTAATAAATTATAATTATTTTATCACGTTAGTAAATATGTATGTTCTTGTTTTGTTAACTCTAAAATAACCACAAAATTATTTATAAAGAAATGTTACTAAACATGGAAGGAAAAGTTCCTCAATACTGTATCAACAGATTGCTAAGTAAAAATTGGGAATGAATAAGTTAAGTACTATACCTCCAAACTTGGATCTGGATGATCCAAGATTTAGGATCAAACCTTATCAACAAATCATTGCTTCTTGCACTGGTGCTTTTATTACTTCAGTTTTTGGTAAAATTTACCATCATATCGTATATTGCATTTTCATAAATAAATAATTATGAAAAAATTTCTATATTATAAATCTGTTATATAGTTACTCCCTTGGATGTGGTAAAAATTAGACTTCAAGCACAACAGAAAGCAATGCTTTCTAATAAATGTTTTCTTTATTGTAATGGTTTAATGGACCATTTGTGTCCTTGTTTGAATGGCAAAGGTCCAATATGGGCTAAAGGAAATGGAAAATTTAATGGTACAGTGGTAAGTTAGATATATTTTTTAAATTAAAATTAAATTATATATAATAAATTTTATTATTATTATATATATATATATATATATATAATAAAATCTAATAATTAAATGTATGAAATAATTTATTCATAGGATGCTCTTATGAAAATTAGTAAGAATGAAGGTATTCTTTCACTATGGAGTGGTTTAAGTCCTACTCTAGTTCTAGCAGTACCTGCAACTATAGTATATTTTGTTTCATACGAACAGTTAAGATTATATTTTAAGGTAAATAAAATTTTTTTCAATTTTGCACATTGTAATATTTTTAAAGTTTTGTAAAACTATTTACATTTTTAGGATAAATATAATAGAAAAAATAGAAAAGCTAATACAATTACAATGAAACAGCCATTTTGGATTCCTATGATGGCTGGAGCTATAGCACGTATTTGGGCTGCAACTTTAGTAAGCCCATTAGAATTAATTAGAACAAAGATGCAATCTCAAAGGTTAAGTTATGCAGGTAATATTTTATTTAATTATTAATATTATTTTTAATTAATTTAAATGTAATTTATTCTTTATCTTAGAAATTCTTCAAGCATTGAAAACTGTTGTAAAATATAGTGGTATCTCTGGTTTATGGATGGGATTATCTAGTACTCTTTTACGTGATGTACCATTTAGTGCAATTTATTGGTTACATTATGAAACTATAAAACAAAAATTTCACGAATCACAACAAACTTTTACTTTTAATTTTACAGCAGGAGCTATAGCAGGATCTGTAAGTATTTTTTATTTTTAACTTTAATTATAAAAGAAAAATGAAAGTATTATAATATATTATAGATAGCTGCATTTTTAACAATCCCATTTGATGTAGTAAAGACACATAAACAAATAGAAATGGGTGAGAAAGAAATTTATTCAGGTATTTTCATATTTATTTTTATATATTTTCTATTATACTATTTAGAATAATAATATGTTATTAATTAAAATATTATTTAAATAAAATAAAATTTAAAATAAAATATTAATTAAAAAATGGATTATAGATAATCCAGGACGTAGTAGTGGAACATGGGCCATAATACGAAAAATTTATAAACAAAATGGAGTAAAAGGATTATTTACAGGACTAATTCCACGTGTAATTAAAGTGGCTCCAGCTTGTGCGATTATGATTGCAACATTTGAACATGGAAAACGGTTTTTTCAAGTATATAATGCTAATCAAATTCTTCAACGTGAAAGTGATATACAACTTCTAAAACACAAACGAAAAAATGTAGAATAAAGTATGATACTATAAAATATTATATTAAATAAAACAAATAAAAACCTATTACCAAATAAAATTTTATTTTATTATAATTTTATATAGAATTTTCTATAAAATTCAAGTTTTTGTATTTTTCAAAATAAATTTGTTTGTTTAGGAAGAAAAAAATAAACAACATAAGTTAAATTTTATCGATATATCGATGACCATCGATATATTATATTATTATTATACTAACCTCTCATCCAGAGAACAGCCACTAATCATAGTAGCCAACAATGGCAAGTTTACAATAGAGAAAATCACTAACAAGAAATAAGTCAAGCGAGAGTCTATAGTAGTCAATATTTAAAATTATTAATAAGAAGATTTTTTTTTAATTTCTTAAAAAAAAGTAATGATAAAAAATTATATAAATTTTAATATAGAATATTGAGAAAAGTTAAAATAGAAAGTCTTTCTCGGAAATATATAATAGAAAATGTATTTATTAGTTACTGCAGACGAAAAACAGTTCGGCTAAATTCGGTTGGTCGATAATCGGAGTCGGTGAGAGTCGAAGTGTTGAAAGTAGTGAATAATAGGTCATCGCACGGAAGTCGAGTCGTTTCGTTCAGTCCAGATAGGTTGTTCGTACGTTGAGCGTTTCGTACAGTAGTCACTCGCCAATTCAACATTCCAACAAGCCGGGTCTTCTTACCTCTTTAAACATATTCTGGTAAGTGTGATTACTTATTAATGAAGAAACATATAAAGTAAAAGAAATTCATTAAATCTTTTAATTATTGTTATTTAAAATCAAATTTCTAGTTTAAATATTACTGAAAAAACATTTATAAATTCTTCAATAATCGTAAAGAAGAAAAAATTTCTTTTATCAATCGAAGGTAGAACATGAGAAGCCATTTTGTAATCTATTGTCAGCCATTCGCTGTTCTGTAGTTTTTGTTCTTTGTAATAACAGATATCGAAGATATTCGGATCGCATCACAAGTTAATTTTGACCCTGTATCCTTAGAATCTCCTATAACGATTCCGTCAGAAACGTTACGTAATCATACATTGCGTATGCCCGACTTGTGGTTAGTAATTCGCTGTTGTTCATAGGATTAACACGCATCTTTCATTGAAATTCATAATTTTCACATTTAGAGACATTGTCTTGTTTCAGATACTCATTTGAGTGATCATATAATTTCAAACGTCATCATGTATGCTTGTACTAGATTTATTGTACCTGTCGCCAAGTCGACCGTGAGTAATTTTCTCTTCGTTTCGAATATTTTGAAATTTTTATATTATTATATAATCTTTGAGTAATTTGTCTTATTTTCAGTTGGTTTCTGGAACTAAGAATTATATTCGACCATTGAGCAGTGCTGTGGTAAGTCACAGCCAGTCTATACAGCAGAATCAGATTCAGAACCCATTCAGTGTAAGTAACATTTAATATTTTTCGCATTGCATAACCTCACCTCGTTACGAAGTTACATAAGCAAGTTTATTTTCATTAATTCAAAAATTTTTTTAATAAGAAACAAAAAATTTTTTTAAATAAATATATCAATTTGTAATAAATCATAAATATATATATATCTTATATTTCCTGAGTTTTCATCTTTTGAATTGACTTTAAATTAACTAATTTTATAATTTAGGATTATGTCATGAAAAATATTAATTTGAATTGAAAAAAGATTTTAAATAGAATAGTTGAAATAAATAATTTAAAATACAGGATGAATATAAAATTCTAAAATAATTATCTATAAAATTTAATTTTTTATGTCAAAACATTAAAATAAAAATAATAAAGATTATATAAGTCATATTATTTGATGAAGTAATTTACTTTATTTAATATATAATTGAAATCATTATTAAATTTGGAAATTTTTTATTAAATTTTTTTTAAATTTAAATATTTTTTATTTCATAAGATTTTTAAATTGAAAATTTTTTTCTTTAATATTACTCATTTTTTTTCTAATTATTTGAATAATTTTTATATAGTCTCCATTGGTGCAATCTCCAATTATACGTAGTTTCCAAACATCTACAATTAGTCGTGATATTGATTCTGCTGCAAAATTCATTGGTGCTGGTGCTGCCACTGTAGGTGTTGCTGGGTCGGGTATGTATATAATTTTTGTTTTTAATAATTATGAAAATTATAATATTTTGATTCCTATTCCTATATTCATTTTCTTATTAAAAAAAATAAAATTTAATTAATTAAATTAAATTTCTTATTAAAAAAAATATATAAAATTTATATTCCAGGGGTTGATATGATAAATATTTAATTTTTGGATCCTTAATAATTGGATATACCTAAAACCCATCCCTAAAATAGCAAGTTTTTAATTATGCTATCCTTGGCTTTGCATTATCAGAAGCAATGGACCTTTTTTATTTGATGATAGCATTATTTATATTATTTGCCTTCTGATCCTAATTCTTCTAAAATGAATCATCCTATAGTAGTAAAGTTATATCATAAATTACATAAATTTAAATCAATTTTTTTTTTTAATTATAATAAATAAGATTATACATATGATTTCAGGAGCTGGAATTGGTTCAGTGTTTGGTTCTTTAATCGTGGGTTATGCCAGGAATCCTTCTCTTAAACAACAGTTGTTTTCATATGCCATTCTGGGCTTTGCCTTGTCTGAAGCCATGGGTCTCTTCTGTCTTATGATGGCTTTCTTACTTTTATTCGCATTCTAAATTATCAAAATCGCATAAAAACACAATATTACTAGTTTTAGTGCATCACTGTCAAAGTGGCGTCCTTTGATTCCTGCGAAGGAAACAATGGTAGTTGCCTTTGGTGCACGAGATGCCATGAAATCATTAGAGATGCTCGAGTATCCGGTTCGATGGGGTATGCGACGGTACGACAATGAACTGAAAAAATGGCGGCTGTATACGTAATTTAGATCATCGATCGAACCGTCTTTGACTCCTTCGGGGCCTTTCGAACTAATTTGTAATTATTTCATGGTTTACTTTATATCATGTAGCGTAAAAATTCATATTACGATAATATTGTACTTCAATATAAGAATAAGAATATTAACAAAAGTTTATTAAAAAGATTGAATAAAAAAAAAAGATAGCGTTGCTTGTAAAATCCATATACATGTATGTTCATCATTTTTAATGTTATCAAATATTAAGAAACAGTAATATACATCGAACATTTTTTGTTAGTGTGGAACGGTTCATCATTGTTGTGCCATCGCGTGCGCGCATTATTAAGGTAACTGGACGAAAAAAATTGTACAGTGATATCGAATAAACACTTGTCGTAAAATTATTATTGAATTTATAAGTGATTATTTTTGAGCAACCTTCCCTTTGTCATAATTGCTTTTCTTTAGAGAGAAGTTAATTTTAATATATTGAACATTTATTTAATTATATTTCTAATTTGAGATATTTGCATAAGATTAAATAATTAATTTTAATAAATATCTATTTTTTTCATTGAAAATATATGTTAAATACTAAATATTATATTTTTAAATTTTTTTAAATTTTTTGTACAAAATATGTGATTCTCTTAATAAGATTAGACATACAACATAATTTGTAAAAAATATGTAGAGATTTATTCACTGTTATATCTATTCAAATTTGTATCATAGTTCATAATTTCTTGTTAATATTCTCGTCATATTTAATATATTGTGCATTTTTTTTAATACAAAAATAAAATAAAATTTGTAATTAGGATATAGGATATTTACATCTTTTGTGATAAAATTCAATACAATTGTTAAATTTTTAATTTAATTTTTAAGTCATTTAAAATAAGAATTGATATAATAAAGGAATACTTCAAGATAAATTTTACACTATTGAATTTAAAAATTAAATTCATATTATTAAATTTTTATATAATTGTAATTTTTATAATACATAGTTTTTATCACTATATTATATAATACAGTAAAAAATTGTATTTAGTCTGCAGTAGTGGTGAAACCTATAGGTTCTCCTATGTTATTATGTGGTAGCATATTTAGTTGATCTAAAAGATTTTCTCTCTCTCGAAGACATGACCATGCTTTTTCTTGTTCTTTTTTTGTTAAAGGTACTTCTCTTTGTTTTGCTAATATAAGTTTCTTGTAGTGTTCTATTACTTCATTATCTGCTGTACTAATTTTTCTTTTCAATGCTTGTCGCTTACTTTCCTCTTGAGCTAAATTCAATAGTCTTTTTAATTGTGTTACATTATGGTTGGAAAGTGCAGTAAGCTCCTGTTGACATCGTTTTATTTCAGTTAAAATTTCATCATCTTCTTGACTCTTTTTTTGTGCATCTGGTTCTAAAATTCCTTGTTCAACTAATTCTTTATGCATTCTTAATTCTAAATTTATAGAATTCTGAATAGTAAGATCTCTTAAAACAGGAGGATCATTATCTCTAAAGAGTTTATTATCTGTATTGTTATTTGCAACATATACATTTTCTTCTAACAAAGCAGAGACTAATCTTTGAGTTAGAGGTCCTGCTATACTGTGTGCTTTTTTATCATTTTTTCCAACCAATAAAGACACATCTGAACGATTTTTCTTCTTGTCCCGATTTGGATTAGCTGCATCTTCTTCTTGCAATAAATCATTATGTGCCCATATTAAACTGTAATGACGACCTAATGGAGGAATTTTCTTAAAATCACTTATGTCACTATGTGTGGAGATTAATTCTTCTAACAATTTAATATCATCAGACATAATATCAGTACAATATGGATCAACAGATGCCCAAAATTTGTTAGGTGTATCATTTTTTGGTAAGAGCAACTTTGGTGATTCAGATTTAGAACCTTCAATTCTTGAAATTTCATGAACATTTGGAATGATTTGAGAGTTTGAGCTATTAACAGCTTTCTGTTTGAATAGTTTTGCTGGAATAGGAGATTGTGTTTTAGTACTAAATCCTTTTGGTTTAAATTTTTCTTCTCTGACTTTTTTATCCAAAAGAGAAAGACCCTTTCCACTTTTAGATCTTTTATCTCTGCGTTCTTCTGCTGAAGATAAATTGGTTATCTCTTCTTGAAGCATACGATGTCGCACAACTACTGAAGATAGAAGCATTTCTAATTCCAACTGCAATGTATCAAGATCTTCCATTCCTACACCTTCTTCAGCATTACGTTGTAGAATGCTGCTATACCTTGGAAGAAGACGGCTATTATCAGCAATTTTTAAGATTGATAAAGACATTGCAGTTTCTGTACTCTCTGAACTTGTATCTGAATTAAGTGCAGTAGCTTGCACTGTCTTCCCACTTTCTCGTACTTTAACAACTGCTTTCTTAGAACTTTGTTTTCCTTTGCCAGACATGATTGTAACCTTAATGTTACACAAGTGTCTTCAAAAAATTCAATTATTATTTTAGTAAAAAATATTCATTTTTGACTGCTATATTAGATCATTTTTATTGTTTTTTTTATAATCACAACTTTTTTCTTCAAATTAATCTTTATTTTTAACACAAAATAGATAAAAAAATCTTATTTTTTATTTTCTTTCAATTTTTAAATTTTCAATTGTTATACATATATCATTCTGAAATGTCATAAAATATTAGGTTATGTTAACAAGTTATATGTACAATAAATGCTTTGATCAGCTGGCGGAATACTATATAAAATATGTAGTCAACATCATTAAATTATAATAAGAATGATTCTATCTTCGAGAATATATTAAAAAAAAATATTTTTTTATTGTTATTTTATATTTTATAAACTATAAGAATAGTTATAATATAATATATAATATAAAAATAATTAGTCAACATGCCATACAATTTTTTTTTCAAACAATAGTATAATAGTATTATCGCAAATGTTCTATTTACAAAGCAGTAGCGCCGTATAAACTAATCGGAATTTTGTCTTATTAACTGATATTGTTATTTCATTCCATCACTTTGAAATTTTGATCAGTTAATATAGTATTATTAGATAATAAATACGAAAATATTAATTATTTAAAAATTAATAAATTGTCTTATGTATCGAATAAATTAATTGTTTATTAACAATTAAATTGATAGGTTAATCTAAATATACAATTAATATAATATTTGATATTTTAATAATATAATTTCATTAATGCTTTTAATTCAGTCCGCTAGATGACTCATAGATTTTATATGAATTATATATTAATACTTAGATTATTATTACTTACTTCTGTATTAATATTCATATTTGTGTTTATAACATTTTTTTATTTCATATTTTAAATATAAATTCAATATATACATTGAATCAATGAAATAAATCATAATTTATAATCGATTGTTAAATATGTTTTATTCTTATTATATGTTTTTAAATTATTTTTATAATAATTATTAATTTAAATAATAATAAATAAGTTTGAATTTCTAATAAATTTTATGATGATTTTAAATATTTAAAATTTATATTATTATTTATAAATATGAAATTTATATAGGTCATAGGTCATTATACAAATAAAAAAGTGGACAAAATATATAATGTATAGAAAACAAAATTGAAAATGGCAGAAAAAGGAGCTCATTTAACTGGCACAACATTTATAAGACCTTCTATTTTTGAAATTATAGCACAAGAATCGTTAGCACATACTGTAGAACCGGCTTTTACAAAATTTTTATCGGTAAGTTAATCAAATTTACATTAATTTATAGAATATAAATATTAGTTAATTATAAAAAGTGGAACTTCATATATTAGTTTTTATTTTTATTTAGTAATTTGTTAATAAATAAATTCTATTTAATCAAATCATTAAAATTATAAGATAACTTATAAGATAAAATATCATATATTAGTTATTATAATATTCCTTGAAATCAGTTAATCAAAAATTTAATTAATTGACTTTAAAAATTTATTATAAATTTACTATGAATCCTATTATAAAAATAGAATATTTATGTAATAAAATAATGAATACTTAATTAAAAAATAATTTATTTTCATTAAATATAATTTTTTTTTATTAAAAATATTTAATTTTGTAAATAATTTTGTAAATATTTTTATAAACTTTTAGTTTATTGTATCATTTAATATTGAAAGATATGGACATCTTCTTAAATGGACAGATGAAGGTTATTTAATTTTTAATACAATTCTTCAATACTATTATTTGAACAAATATTGTAAGTAATTATTTGTTCATATAAATTTAAAAAAATTTATTTTTTACAAATATTTATTTATAAATATTTAAAAAAAAATATATATATATATATTGATTTTAGCTGCATCATTTTCTGAAACATTTTATAGTTTAAAACGCATAATTATAGTAAACTCAAAAATTAAATGTGAATTATCAAATAAGCAAAGAAGACTTTCATTAATGTTAACAATTTTATTTCCTTATATAAAAATCAAACTTTCTCAACTAGTGGAAAAATATAAACTTGAAGAAGTTGATAATTGTGTTCCAAAGTCGGTAATTATACTCATAATTTTTTTTTTAATTTATATTTTTTTACTCAAATAATCTTTAAAATTATTTTTTAGAAATGGCAAAAATTATATCGTAATTGCATTATCAAAGGAAACGCAATAATTTTCATGATGTATGAATTTATGGTACTATATAATTATGTTCTTTATATTTCTGGAAAATCAGCATATACTTCTCTATTTTTGAGATTTTTGTCTATAACTTTAACATATGCAGAACCAAAACCGATACTTAGTATTTCAGATTTTTTAAAGAAAATTAGAACAAACTCTTTTGGTATTAGTGATGGTATAGATATATTTCAAAGAATGATGACTACATCTTTTGAATTTGGAGCATTTTTTCTTCAATTCTTGTCTTGGTGGACTCAAGAACATTATTCAACTAATTTACTATCATTACCTATTCCATCACCTCCAAAAGTAAAAAAATAAACTTTTTATGTAATTAAATTTTTTTTTAAACTCAAAATCTACAAAATATTCATTTTAGATTCCAGATATAGCAAAACAATACAAAGGAATATGTCCAATCTGCTATAAAACACTTAGAATACATACAGTACTTTCAGTGTCTGGGTATGTGTATTACAGAAAATAATAAATTAAACAAAAATTAGAAAATTGAATTCAATTATAATTCATAAATATTTCATTTTACAGTTATGCATTCTGTTATCAATGCATTCTTCCTGTGATACGTACAAACAAAAAGTGCCCAGTGACAAACTATCCTGCTAAGGAAGATGATTTAATACGTTTATATTTAGACTAAATAATAATGTGCATATTTTACTATATAAGTTGTAAATAAAATTAGTTATTTTTAAATTTACTTTTAGATTATGATAAAACAAAAAATTAACTTTATCATAAATTTAGAAATATATATTATTTTGTGACAGAATTTTCAGTATTAATGATAATTTGTCAAGAAAAAATGATATGGAATAAAATAATTGAATAATTACATTAATGAATAATATCTACAGGTACATTCCATTATATGATAGAAAAATACTGATTTTAATCAAAGGAGTTTTTTTTTAACATCCAATACATTCATGTACTTGAATCACAGATAATGGCGCCAAAAGTTCCAGTAAGTTGTTTTGCATTACTTTTGGTAAAATATTTTAAAGAATGTAATATATTTCAATACTGAATATTCGACACTCTATATAAAATCTAAGAATAAAAGTTCGCAAAATATAAGAATATTACTTAAGAAATAGTAACAAATATTTATTCTTTCCTATACTTTCATATTATTTTAAATAATCAGTGCTCAAGTAATTGTATAAATATGTATTAACTACATAATCATTAATCATATCAATTCAAAACTTTCCAAATTAAAATTTTTTTTTTTTATCTGATTGAATATTATCTATTTAGATTTGGAACATTTTTTAATCATTATGGCACACTTTAAGAAGAATTTCATATGACATTAATATAGAGTAAATCCAAAATTTTTTTATAATAATTTTTTATAATAAATTTTTTTATAATTTTTTTTATCACTAAATTTATGTAATTATTGATAAAAATTTAATTTTATAAATTAATAAAAGAAAATTTAGGAAAGTTTATAAGTTTATATATACTTTAATATAAAAATTAAAATCATTTTTTATATATCATTTTTTATATATCATACATATTTATTTTTATATTATTAATGAATATACTATATTTTAAAATATTTAGAAAATCTTATTTAATTGAGTACTTTAATTGAATACTTGAACACTGACTTTTCTATTATATTGATAGGAACATTTTTTTTCAAAGGCCATATTTAATACTTAAAGATTCTATATGTATTAATGCTCTAGTCTAATCAAACTAATATAGCAATTATATTAGTTACATTTCACAGTATAAAAATCAATAATTTTTTTGTATTTACACAGATTATATAAAAAATTTCATATTCATACATTGGATTTCAATTTTTTACATTAATTTTGTTATAATACATAAATATTATCTTAAATTATATATATATATTTAGTATTCAATAGAAAAATTATTTTTAAAATTATAACTGTAAAAAATTTTTTTTATAATAATTACATATCAAATTACAAATTACAAATCAAATTACATAATAATAAATAATTCTTTATTTTGTAATTTCAAAATATTTTGACCAATGTATGAGTGCATGTAATTTTTTTAATCATTATTAGATATTTATAACTTATTTTTAATTATTTTAAAAATCTTTTTTATATTTATAGTAAACACGTTTTAAATTATTCAAATTAAATAGATTATTAAAAACACTTCAGTACTATAGTTTAATAATAATTGTGCATGAAAACATATTTTCAAATTTTAATAATAGTCAATAAATATAATATAGTCATAATATAGTCATAATGTCTAATATTTTGTTTCTTTATGAATGGGAAATTTGATTATCAATTTCATTTTTATAAATCGTTTGACTAGACTATAGCTTTAATGAAGTTTTTTTTTTTTTGAGAATTTTTTCTCTAATCACACAATATAAAAGATTTACAATACAATTTATTATAGGCACATTCAATCACGATTTTAAGAAAATTTAAGAATATTCACATATATAATTGTATCTAAACGTGCATTATGTTATTACTAGTTTTTTTTATAATTGAAATATTATTATAATTCCAATCTTAAAATATTAAAATATGACAGAACAATAAGAAATACATGCTTTTTGGGCATTGTAATGTTTATATAAAAAAAGATAATTTGTTTTAAAATTTCTATGCATTAAAAAAATATTTACGATTTTACAAATTACTTATTTCTACAAGAATTAATATCTAATGATTTTATTAGTAATTTTGATTTTTTTATATGTACTTTGTGCAATTAAATGTTAAATTTTACTAATTGTCTAAAACATTTAAAATTGAAAATTAATATAACAAAATAGGCAAAAATACATAGAATAAAAACAATATAAATTCAAAAGACAATTTACTGTATGAGTATGATTTACTAATTATATGATATCGTAAATATTGGGATATTAACAAAACTACTACTAAAATACAACAAAAAGCGTACGTTTTAGTATTCTAGAACGTATACATACGTACGTGTTTACGAGATTCAGATTCATCAGATTCATTTCATTGCATATTCATTTCAACTTCTCTTCATAGAGTTCATCAATTTTTTGATCTCTTAGGAACACATCAACTACAACTCTTCAAAGAATGCAACTCTGGCTTTGGTGGATCCAGATTTTACTTTCTTTAATGTACTGTACTTATTCTCACCGAGTCGCACTTGTTCTTCGTGTAATTGGTCCAATTCGCACTGTTTTTCTCCAACTTTCATAACTTCAATTTCTGTGCGTAATTCTCTAAGTTGTTCCTGTAAATGTTTACTTTTTTCCCAGTAATCAACTCTTTCTTTCTCAATTTCTAAAGACAACTGATCGACATCTCCATCGGCAATCAGATCGTAAGAAGTGAGGTCAGTTGGCAAAGGTTCTGTATCCAATTGCAGTGTTTGAAGATCTGCTTGCAAATCTGATGGAAGTACTTGCGTTGATGGAAATATGTTTGGCACAGGCTAAAATATAGATATTAAATATATTTAATTATAATTAATTATATTTAACTGTACTTATTATTTTTATGATTCAGATGCTTACAGTTATAGTAGCAGTATAAGCATTTCTACTAAGAAATTCTAATAATTTTTCCTTTGCTTCCTTCTCAGCAATACGTGCACGTAATAATTCATCTTTTAATTTTTCTGCTTCAGCAGCTCTTCGTTCAGATTCTTGTACCAGTCTTTCTGTCAACAATTCTGCTTCCCTAGTCTTTCGTTCAAGATGAACTTTTTCCTCCTCTGTTTTCATATTGTTTAATCGTATACGTGTAATTTCTTGTTCCGCTTCTGAAGCTTTCTGACTTAATAGCATTGCTTCCTCTTCGGCTACGCGACTTTTCTCAGCTAATAGATCTGCAGTTTCCTCAGATCTTCTCTATAATTAATCGAATTTTTTTGTGACGATTTTTAGTTATAATAAATATAGAATTTTATTATTTATATTTCCTTACAAGTGCTTCATTTGCTAAACGAATTTCTTCTTGATATTGTAAAAGTCGTTGTTCCATAGCAGCCTTTTCTCTTTCTGCTGCTTCTCTGAGTTGTTTTTCTCGTGCCAATTTATTCCTTTCAATTTGTCTCCTAATAAAATAATATTAATGAAGTAAAAAAATTGCACAATATTATGAAAGCAATAATTTGATGGATACAATAATAATTACTTATCTATTAAAAATGTCTTTGTAAAAAAGTACATTTTATATGATTTCCTTGAAGTAAAGGTGTTCCTTTTTTAAGTGTTTAAATAAGTATACTAACCTGATTAAACATTTATTTAATTATTTTTAGATTTCAGTTCCTATAAAATAATATAAAACAACAACAAAAAAAAAAAAGAAAAGGAAAGAAACAGCTTACATTAGAATACATTAGAATATTGTTATAAGATAGATATAAACTTTTCATGCATATAATTATTGAATAAATTTTTTATAATTTATTAAATCAATATTTAAAATTTATTTTTTTCATTTTTAAATATTAGTAAAGCATTTGATTTTACAAGCTCCATTCAAATTAAAAAAATTTAATTCATAAAAAAAAATAATGTTTATATATTGTATTATATTGGAAATATTTGAGAAAACAAAGAAAATTCACGCAATATTTTTAAAATATGTATGCACATATATAAAAATCTACCTTGATTTTTCTTCTTTGGCTTGTGCTTTCATTTGCTGCACTTCCATGGAATCAGGCTTGCGTCTTCTCATAAACAGATCGTGGTTGCCAATACACAGGTCCAGAATCTTAACAAATAATATGTGAGCAGCTTTGTCATTGTTTTGTTCGTCGAACCCTAAAGCTATCAAACCCTTCACCCAGCTGCCAACATCTGATTGTTTTTTTACCAGTTTATTCATCCTAACTTTCTGCGAGAAGAACACGAAGTTCGGCGATGTTTTCTCCACTGGTTTTATTACGAACTTCTTGTCATCAAAACTGATATGTCGTATTTCCGACCATGTGAATGTTGTTTTTGGCGCCAATTTGTTCTCCTTTTCATAAATATTTAATCCCAAGGCTGTGACTCCCAACCAAAGATCAGTCTCTTTTTTATTCTAATAATTAATATCATTCAATAAAAATGTTTTTAATTATAAAAGATATTTTTTACGTGCATGAAAACTACTTACACTAATAGGGAAATAATTTACACCATACATATCAAGATCTTGAGCAATTTTCAGATATTCCATTTCTGCTTCATCTCTGGACATCCCACGATGATCAGCATACCAAATTTTTATCCTATCCTCCCACATTTCAGGTGTCATCTGATATTGATCAATAACTCTTTGTGGTAATAAATCTTCGCTAGCAAGCATTCCTGGACGGTATGAAACTTCATCATAGTCTCCATACTAAAATATTTAAAACACATAAATTAATACAAATAAAAATTATTTTTTTAAAAAAAGTTATAATTACCTTTGCTTGTACTGCATAAGAAGCTAATAATACAGATGCTTCTGGTGGACAATAAATATCCATTGAAAGAATAGCTTGTTTCACTTGTAGAAAAAATAAATGTTGGGTTACTTCTTGCACCAATTCTTCAGCAACATCTTCTGGATAAAACTTTGCCAAAAACATAAAAGGTGTTGTAGGTTGTTGAGAAATACATTGATCTTGTACTAAAATAAAAGTATAATATTATTAAAACATAATTTTAATTTTATAAAATTAAAAAAATTATTTACCTTTTTTATCCAATTTTAACCAAGATATAAATCCTTTAGCATCTTCATATTGAAGTCCAAAGTACCATGTTTCTCTTAATCCTATCGTACGACAAACTAAATCAAAAAGATCTCTTCCTGTTGATCTCCACTATGAATCCATTTAAAATAAATGTTTATATATATAAATATTTAATAACAGAACAAATAATGCAAATAATGCAATAAACTAACCTCTAAACTAAATTCCAATTCAGCATCCAATGTACAGACTTTAACAGGAAAAGATTTTCCAGATTTTTTCCTTCGAAATGGTGGCATTTTACTCCTCATTATATTCACTCAATATGACAAAGGAAAAGATGACCAATAAAAAAAATGAAAGAGAAAAAAGAAAACATCTAAGTTATACTGTGAAACTTAATTAGGCATTAAATTTTTTCGTTTTATTCAAATAATGTAGAAAAAACTGAATAATAGATAATCTTACCTATGCATTCGTAACATATTGACCAAATACATTGAAAATAGTAATAATAATTCGACTAATTAAATTCATGTAAGATAAAATAATAATTTTAAACATAACTTTTCTCGTTAAATCACATTATATACTATTGTTTTCAAATTTTACTTTTTGAGAAAAAAAAATTGAATTATTTTCAATATATAAATTAATTTCTTTATGTTTCGAAACAATTTATTTCACTAATTTTAGTCAACTCAAATAACTTTATTCAAGACAAAGACTATACTGATAATCTAGACTAACATTTTTCGATAATTCGAAATCTGCAATATCGATAAATAAATCGATAATATGAGTTCATTTTGTGATGTGTTTTAATTTGTGATGGGATAGATTTAAATCTTATGAGATTTTATGCTTTATGTTCTACATTAATAGAATATCCAAAATATCAAAAATATTAATCATAATAAAAAATCAAAAATTTTGTATATTTTATTTCATCAAATTAAATTTTATTCGATTAGATTATTTAAATTTTTTATAATATGAGTTAATTAATTATGATTATAATTATTTTTATATCATTATTTTTATAAATGTTAATTATGATTAAATCCATTAGAATAATTTTGTTTATTATAAACTATCTTGTGAATAGTTTCATAATTAATTTTCATAATTAGCGGTAAAGAATATATATGAAAATGCAACCAATCAAATTTAAACAGTATTAAATGTTTTTTTTCATTTATAAAACAGATTCTCATTGTTTCAATTATATTAATGTTACTTATTATTTTTAGATTTATTTATTTAATATAATATCACATTGTTATAAATTGTATATGCTAATTATATTTAATTATGTAATAAATTATGTAAATTAAAAAACTTACCAGGGTTCAAATATTTATCGGTACATCACTGCTATTTGTGCTTGATAAATTTCTTCATTTTCTCGTGAGTTCTCTCGTATCTTATTCATTTGATTTCCGAAAAACGTATATATTTTTATTAATATTAAAATTTTGCAAATATTATGACAATTCTACGCATTGGACAAATTCTATTTGTTAAACAATTGCAAATTGGTCGAAAACCACAGTATTTTGCATCCAATATGAAATATTATTGTTGTGAGTATAATACTACTTGCTTATAAATGAAAGTCACAAGTGAAATTTGCCTTTAAAATTAGATATAAATATATATTTTATGTTATAAAACTTTTATGTAATATTTTAGAATAGTTTTTGAAAGATATATATATATTATATATTATATATCATATATTATATATTATATATATATATTTGAGATATAAATTTCTATACATATATGTTAATTTAAAGTTTTATATAAGTAACTACGTAATTTCAATTATACTGAATGGTCTAAACTTCTTTCTCAAAATTTCTTTCGATTTTTATAATAAGATAAATTTAAATAATTTTTTTATTTAATATATTGCAGAGAATTTTTTTTTAAATTATTTTTTTTTTAAATTATTGATTTTTTTTTGTATTTTTTTTAGTATGTAAATACATTTTTTTTCAAAATCATTAATGTTGTAAAATATCAAGAATATTATATACTTACGATTTCTATATATATAAATTCCATATTTAATTTTAATTTTCAAAAATTAAAAATCATTTTAAGATCATATCGGTTACATATCTTACGTAAAACGTATTTAATATCAGTTATATGATGCAATAAAAAAAATGTATTTATATGTAAAAATATTAATGATCTTCAAAGTAATCTTGAGAAAATATATTCTTTGCAATTCATCTCTTGATATTATTCAAATTAATATATAAAAAAATATTTTTGTAGCATTACAATTGGAAGAAATACTTAAGTTAAGAACTATCTTATATATACAATTTTTTTTCATTGTATTATAATGATATGATGAAAGCCGTTATTAATTACTCATATATGTTCATTGCATGTGATTTCACTTATGTAATTTCTTAAAATACAAACAGAAATATAAAACTATTATTAATAAGTTTACGTATCTATTAAAGAATAAAATATATTTCTATCCTTATTAAATTATATAAAAATTCATATGTCGTATAGTTCGCAAATTTGTGTAATATATATACTACTATTGATTTAGGAAAACAATGAAAAAATATACGAGAAAAGAGATAACTTCAGATCAATTAAATAAATAAAATATAAAAAAGAAGACAGAAATAATTTAAATATTGAAATAAATAAATAATAATTTTTATTAAAATTTTTCTTTTAAAAAATAAATATAAAAAATTCTTGATTCATTATAAATAAACAAAAAATATATTTCTTAAATAATTTTAAGAAAAAAAAAAAAAGATTAATAAATTATACCTTCTGTTTTTATGGAATCAAAAAATACTGACTAGCTTCTGACATAATTTTTAAATATCATTTAGATATTTGCTTATTATTCTTAGTATATCTAAGAATAATAATAACATAAATTTGATACATTATACAATATTTATACATTGTTCATGTATCTAATTTTTGCATGTATTATATTGAATTTAATTTTCTTCTCCACAGAAAACGCATTAAATCTTTCGATATTCGTTTTGATTAAAAATTTTTAATATTTTGTTTTGTCATAACTCTTTTATTTTGGTTATAATTTTCAACAAATTCACTCTTAAATAATAAAGATGTAATAAAGATAAAGAAAATAAAATGTAATAATAAAGATTTTCTTTTTTATATTTTCGAAAACAAAATATAAAACATTTTTTAAAAACAACAAGCAAAAATGAATGAAAATAAAATCTTTATAAATATAATTAAAAAAATTGAATTTAAATAAAGATTTACTTTATTCTTTAAATATTATAATATTTTAAATATTTTATTTCATGTGCATATAAGGTGAAAATATTTTTGATTTGATTAAATATACATGCATATAAATAAATTTCAAAATACTATTACTAAATTGAAATACTAATTTCAAAATTTCAAAAACCAATTGCATATACGCATCAAAATTAAAAACATTGCAATTGCATTATTTTTTATTCTGCAATAAAATTGCTAATGAACATTTAAACGCAAAAGAAATTACTAGTATTAATAGAAATAAAATAATAATTTAAAAACCAGTTATTATTTCGTTTTTTCGATTATTTTTAATAATTCAAAAAAATGTAAAAAAAATATCTAAAATTAATTGATTGAGATAATTTTTTCTATGTTTGAACACACAGATATGAAAGTATTTTTTTAATTATGAAACAAAAAATAAATATCGATCAAAATTGACATATTATCTTTATTAATTATTATTTAACAATTAATATTTAAGTATATCCTTGTTAATAATATGTTAATTGTTAATTTATTGTAATTAATATTGTTAATTGTTAATTCACATTTAAAAAATTAAATAAAAGTAACTATATATTAATTTGCATTAACTTATTAATTATAATATATGTATTATTGACAGAGTCTAGTACATACGCAAGAAATTATTCTACAAAACAACAAAAGAAATGTTCGTTTATAGCTTGCGGATTTCAGCATGCCTGCTGTAAATTTTTATATATTTATAAACGCAAACAGTCACAATCTAATAACAATAATTTAATTGTCTTTTAACACTTAAGATTCTTAAAAATATCGGAAGATACTCGCTATAACATAACAAGAAGAGAAATTTCTGATCTCGTCCAATAATTAATTTATATCATGTGAAAAGAAATTAGTTAAATGTTCAAAAATCTTATAATAAAGATCTTAAATATATAAAAAAATCTTAAATATATTGAATTGTTAATGTTACAATCAATAAAATATAATAAATATATAATATAATAAATATAATAAATATATAATATATATAATATATAATAAATATATAATATATAATATATATAATAAAAATTATATATAAAAATATATAATAAAAATTTAATAGAAATATTTATTATTTAAATAAATATTTAATAGACAATAAATGTTGATGAAATTTAATAATCTTGATAAATATAAAAAATTTTCAAGAATTTTATTTTTAAATAAATCTTAATAAATCTTAATTCGTTTAGTATGTATACTATTATTAACTGATAAGTATATATAAGTATATATATATATATATATATATATATGCTAAGTTTACAATAAGTAAACTTTCGATATCGTATTAATCAAATTATTAATTATATTTGTATTCAATTTATAAAATTTAAATTATTAATTATTTTAAAAAATATCTACAATGAAAATTATTATAAAGTTTAAAAAAATCGCGATTAAAAAATTTACGTATTTTTTTAAAAATATTTTTTTAAATATTATAATATTTGTAACTCTTGTAAAAAATAATAGTTACATTCCTAAAAAATATATATTAATTTGTATGAATTTATGTTATACGAAATTAAGAATTACTGAGACTAAGAAATAAAATTATTCTAACAATTAATAGAACTATTTTATTTTAATAACTATGATAGATATTCAGTCATAATAATTTTTAATAATTTATAAAAAATAAAAATATTTATAAATTTACAGCCTATGTTCCACAAAATTATGAATTCATTAAAGTGGAAACTGCTGGAGAAAAAAAAAATATTGGTTTGATTACTTTAAACAGACCAAAAGCTTTAAATGCTCTTTGTGAAAAATTAATAACTGAATTAAATGATGCTATGTTAAAATTTGATACTAATGATAATATCGGAGCTATAATAATTACAGGCAGTGAAAAAGCATTTGCAGCTGGTAAAACATAAATTTTTAATGATCATAAATTAATAATTATTGTCAATTTATATATTTTGACTTTATAATTAAATTTATAATTTTTACTTATTTATTTTTTTTAATTTTTTATTTAGGAGCTGACATTAAGGAAATGAAGGACAATACTTATGCATATAATATTAGAAATAACTTTCTTAATAATTGGAATTCCATGTCTAGAATATCAAAACCAGTAATTGCTGCTGTAAATGGATATGCTGTAAGTTAATATAATCTTACAAGAAAGTGAAGAAAATTTGAAAAATTTCAACAATGTGCCAATATTTTATTTTATTGATATATTATTAAATTTAATTATTCTATATTAGCATCATCTATGAATTAGAATGCAAAAATTTTTTAAATTTTGTTTTATAAAAAATTTCTTATTAAAAATTATATATTTATATTAATTAAATATTTATATTAGTTAGGTGGAGGTTGTGAATTAGCAATGATGTGTGACATTATTTATGCTGGAGATACAGCAAAATTTGGTCAACCTGAAATCACTATTGGTACTATACCTGGTGCAGGTGGTACTCAAAGATTAACTAGAGTAATTGGCAAGAGCAAAGCAATGGAAATGGTATTAACAGGCGAACAAATCAACGCTGAGGAAGCAGAAAAAAATGGTAAATTAAATTATTAAAAAGATAAAAATATATGTATAATATATACAAAAATATTATTTTAATTGCAGGTTTGGTTAGTAAAATTTTTCCAGCAAATAAACTTGTTGCTGAAGCAATTAAATTGGGTGAGAAAATTGCTTCTCATTCTCAATTAATTGTTGCCATGGCAAAAGAATCTGTTAATATTGGTAATTATTGACCAATATATATATTTTTTAATATATATATTATCTGTTATTTTTGAAATTCTTCATATTATATTTTTCTTTTTATAGCTTATGAAACTACTTTAAAGGAGGGACTTCATTTTGAAAAAAAAATATTCCATGGTACATTTGCAACAGTAAGAATTTTTTTAAGAACATAGGTAATAAATAACTTTTAATAAATAAAAAATCAAATTTTATAATTCAAATTTTAGGATGATAGAAAGGAAGGGATGACAGCATTCATTGAGAAAAGATTACCTAAATTCAACAATCAATAAAAGGCACTTATTGTTTTATTTACTTTTAATATACAATTAAATACTTATTTTTATAACATTTTATATATTTTTTATATTTGTTATCAAAAAAAAATGTTTTATTAAATATTTTTTTTACAAAAAAAATAAAAACGAAATAATGCTTGTAAATAATTTTTATTTAATCGCTACATCTAATATCATAATTCTTGAATATAATATAATTAAAGATTCATCATCAGGTAAATGTAATTCTTATGAATTTCTTATAAATGCTGTTGATGTCGTAAAAGATATCCAAGAACGATAGGAACAATAAAATTTTACACCAACATCATTATATAATAAATATCAAACTTTATAATAATGTACGTCTCATTTGTTATATTAAAGTTGAAAATCTTTTATAATTTTATAAAAGATTTCAGATATTTCAGATTTTCTTGGAGAATCAAAACTATTTTATAATATAAAATGATGTTTCCATTTTTATTATATTTTTAAAAAATAATCATAAAAATTTTTTATTTTTATTCATATTTTTTTGTTCCAAAGAAATAATTTCATTATTATTAAAATAAATATTTTGTGTACAATAAGTATATTTGATCACTTTTACAAAAAAATAATAATATAAAATTGGAACAAGTTATTTAAAAATATGTCGATCTTCTTGCAAAACCTGTTTGACTAGCTAATACTAACAATATATGATGAAAGAATTGTGCATATTTATTATTTTCACTTGGTTTTTCTCATCCTTATTTAAATTATAAAATAAAATAAAAAATAATTAAAAATTATCTATTTTTACATGCTAAATATTTTCGCTGTATTCCTAATTACTTCATTATTACTTTAAGTACATCAAAAGAAGTTTTGTATAAGATTATAGGATCAAGAAGTTAAGGATCTCAGAGTAATTTTATATATATTATTTGCAATAATATAAATCACTATTTATATTTTTATACAAAATATTTTTATACAAAAATTTAGCCAAAAAGTATTTCGAAGAAGAAATTTCAAAAATATTATTGTGATATGTAAAAATATAACTTTTTATTTATTATTCTCATTATTTATAATCTTTTTATTTTCATTATTTTTTAATCTTTTTTATTTTCATTATTTTATAAAAAAATTTCTCTGAGAATCTATAATCTTTTGCAAGTTATTGGTCCTGTATTTTTAAAATTAGATTTGAAACTCTGAGATCTGTTAAAGAAAAGTTACGAAAAGTTATGCTCACTCGAAATAATTCGGTTTTTTCTTTCATATATATATCACAGTTGCAAGCTCTGCTCAAATAACTAAGTTATTATAGAAACGGAAATTAACTTGGTAATCATCAACTGAAAGTTTATATAAGGCATTTATCGCTTATTACGATTTTTCATAGTAAAACGTCTCCAGAAATTACCGCTCTTCTTCGATGGCGTTGCAACCGGAGTATCATAAGGATAATTAGATTCATCATCTGTATCTTGTGTGTTAGGAATTTCCCTTGTAGGGGAACCACCATGTCCAGAATCTCTATCTCCATCTCCAGAATTCTTTTCAAGACCTAAAATATAAATTGATAATCATTTTAAATATATAATTTGAAGATAATATATATATATATATATATATATATATATCAATGTTAATTATCTAATTTAATAAATATTTGAATAGATATACATAATAAATATTACATTAATGAATATTAATATTGAATTTTCAATAATTAAAAAAGTCTTATAAAAAAATAAAAAATTATAAATATATTAGCATTAAACTTAATATAAATATTATAATTAATAATAATATAATTAATAAATTTAAATATAAATATTATAATTTTAATATAAATTTATTAATAAAATTTCAAATAAAATAAAATTTTATGTAATTTAATTTAATTTAATAATTTAATTTAGTAAGAATTAATGTTGCGTTTATACAATATATATTATTTGCTATTATTTTTTGTTATTATAGAATACTATAGTTTAATATAATATAATATAGTTTAAATTATAAAAAGAAATTTTTGACTGTATAAAATAATATATTTGTAAAATTGTAAAATTTATAATATAAAATAATATAATAATAATAAATTTGCTTAATAATTTTTTTTTAGATTCTTTTATAAACTTTAATACAAACAAATTAATGTATTAATTATTTATATTAAAATAAATAAAAAAATTGAATTTCAAAAAATTTTACCATCTCCAGCACGTAACATATCTAAGAACGTATTCTCTGTATTTCCACGTGTACGACCTTGTTTCTGTGATGGTGTCCCAAAACTCAGACTCTGAATATTGATTTCTGCCTTAAGTTGTTCTGGTGGTATATCATCTACTCGGAACTCATTTGGATCTTCGACAAACGCTTGCTGTAAATCACGCATAATCTTTTTGCGAATGGTTTTTTTCATGGATAGATGTCTTTCCAGATGTTTCACATCGGTTTCCGTTAAAGTTTTGCTATTATCACGACGTCGCGACTTCTTTTTCTTGCTGTTCTTAGGACTTTCCTCTTCACCAGAAGTTGAACCGATAGATACGGCACTGTCATGTCCTGGTGCTTTTTCTTCCATTTGAAAACGCGTATTCTCCCATTTACCAAATCCAAAGATATCTCGAAGATGGGGAATATTTCTATCAGCTGTTTGTTGTCTTGCCATTTCTTCTTATTTAAAATTCTTATTTAAAATTTGAGTGTAATTATTAATCTAAAAAAAATTTTTCGATATTTAAATATAATATATCTAATTAATCGATATAAATACTATATAAATATTATATAAAATAATATTAAATATTGTTTTACATAATACTGAAAAATATATATTATTACATAATATTATTAATACATATGAATTATAATTATGTATTACAATGAATTTATCTAGTTTGAAATATTTATCAATCATTCTTCGCAGTTACTCTCAAGATAAAAAAGAAAAAATTGATTTATGAAGATCCGTTATTGTAATGTGAGTCAACAATATAAATCTTATATGGATATTTTTCCATTTTTTTCTCTTTATTTTGACAAATTATTGATTCAATTGATATAATTTTCACTATATAAACTTTATAAAGAATATAAATTTATAAAATATATAAGTATCTAAGTATATAAGTATATAAATATCGAATAAAATTTTTCAAAAAGAACAATAACTTTCTAAAAATAGAATTTTAACTATCAAAAATATTGCATCAAATTTTAGAATTCAAATAAAAAATCATATTTGCATTGCAAAAATCATATTGCTGTATCGACAATTAATAAATTGACAAAATTCTCAAACAAATATAGATATATATAGATATATACAAATGAATATTATATTTAAAATATCTAAATGCAAAGTAATCGAAATAAAGCATACGAAGTTAGATCATGCTTTTAGTAAAAGATCTGATACAATAAATGTAAAATGAACAATCATTACTAAAAAGAGCATTAATAAAAAGACACTCAGTGTTCAATAACGATTATACGATTTAACATGAGGTAGTTTAGCTCGATTCAAGAATCGATAATGTAAAGTTTCACCTATATTTCTCTTGGTACGCTTTCCATCTATGTGAGAAATTTTATTTATACACAGAAACTTCTTCTTCCATTGCACGAAGAACTATGATTGAGAGCAAGTATGTTTATAATTATATTTTAATACATAAATATGGATGTTTGATTGTTTTCAATTGTATATATAATAGATTCAGAAACAAATCGAATATAAAAATATTCTTAATCTTTCTAGAGAAATATATTTTTTTCATGTTCTATGGATAAAATTTATTGATTTTCAGATAAAAAAATTTTGATAATTTGAATATATTTTTTAAAATATATTTACAATATGAATTAAGAAAGAAAATAATTAGATATTCTATCAATTTTGATTGGTTTTTATAATTACAAAATGAATTTTTATTATGCTTGCAATGTCTGATATCAATAAAATAAACTATATTAAAATCTACTTAATAATTTCATAAATTTCTAGATTTTTAGAAATTATTATTGAAGAGAGAAGAAATTTTTATTTAAGATATTATAATAAAATTATTATTAAGCTATGGTTAATATTTATTCAAAGATATGAAAAATCAGTTATTATTATAAAGATATAACTCTATTAATCATGCAAATATGCAATAATCATGCAATATATATATATATAATCATGCAATATATATATATAATCCAGATTATATCCAGCAAAAAAAGCTTGAAATTATTATGTATTAAATAATAAAATATGTATTCTAAATATATTTTTATTTCAATTCCTTGAACTGGTTGCCAAGGATTCCAGGCAGTCAATTTCATTTGAGTTAATTGTTTCTTTCGTTTACTTACATCTCGTTGTCGATATAAATGTCATATTACTAGTCTCGATGTTTGATATCGGTCACCTGAACTTCAGCAGTGCATAAATTCTTATGATATGAAAAAAATAATTCCAGACACAGAATAAGGTACGAATTTTGAGAATATTGCATTTTAAAATATACATATGTATGAACAAATTAATAATTAAATGAAAATAATTATTTTTAATATTTTGTAGAAAAAATATTAGTTTTTATAAAAGATATATATATATTACATAATTTAAATATCTTATTTTTTTTAATAATATAAAAATTATTATATATATTGCATTTTATAATTAAAAAAATATCTTATAGATTATAATATAGAAAAATGTTTGAATATGTGTCGAGAAAATTATTGAAATTCTTTAATATAGATTTCAGAATTATCTAAATAAAGTTCTTAAATTACATCTTACTTACATATAAATAGCACATACATAAAGTATATATAAATTTTTTATATTTTGTTATATAATAATTCAGGCGAAAAAATTTATTTTCAATATTTTTTTATTTTTTTTATTTATAGAATTCAAGAAAAAAGCATTTCCTGTTTTGTAAACTGATCGAATCTTCCAACATATATATTAAGTTAACAATTATGAAATACTGATGAATAAAAAAATTTCTCCCTAATAGGTTTTTGACATAAGATTATGCATGAGTTTTCCATAGATATTCTTGTGAATTCTTTCTTTTATCTCATAAATATATTAATAGCAAATGTTTAAAATGTTTCTTAACAGAAGTTGTTAG